GAAGGAAACCTGCCCCGGGCATTTGTGCCCTGGAAACACACCCTTCCTCCTCTTCAAACCGACTTCTTGTCAGACCCGGTATTTTTCAGAACATCTTGGGCCTTATCTCTAATTTTAACCAAGCTGTGCATGTCCAGCCCATGCCAGCAGAAGAGGAGGGAGGTGCAGGTGGGAGCTCTGCTTGGCCCTCGTTGGCCTCAGCGACCCTCCTCAGTGCACAGGCGAACAAGGGGTAGGAAAGGCTGAGAGGTGAACTGAACTGCCTCCTGTGCACCCCAGGCTAGTCTGTGGCAGCCAGTGGAGAAGCTGCCCTCACAGCCCAGCTCTGGTGGGAGGCTGGCCGGCCCCATGGTCTCACCCCATCCCAACTGGGGCCAGAGCCTCGCAGGGTCAGGACCTGTAAGGTGCAGAGAAAGTGTAACCTCATCATATCCAGCCATGAGACCGCCTTACTTTAACCTGTATATGCCGAATCGTAACTGCGTCGTAATTATGACGCAGGTATTGCTTACATGCCCAGCATGCTCCTCTGAGCTGGAGCGTACCAGCTTGGCCGGCTCTACCTTTCGCTCCCACTTCCTCGGCTGGATGTTGGCAATCTTCACCCCTTGCGGCGATAACGGGGGACTGAAGGCACGCACTGCCTGCAGGCCCTGGAGGGACTCCCCATAAGCGGCAGGGGCTGGTTTTCTCAAGACGCACAACACAAGATCAGGAGCAGGTTTAAACATGGTGAACATTGATGCCTGCAGGTTTTCTACCCACACTGCTGTCTATAGCCTGGACGAAGTGAGAACCCTGTGCTGGGCCTTGGAAAAGACTAGCCTAGGGTATCTGCTAAGCAATAGCAAAATCTGTCTTGCCTCTTGCTAATCTGTCCAGTCAAACCCCTCTCCCCAGCAAGCTCTGAGCATGGGCTCAAGCAGTTGCACCTGTGTGCGTTAGTATGGATGGTGGATGAGTCTGGTTTGAGAGCAAACTTCTGGATGGGTCCTTGACACTGAAAATAAGTTCCCGAGAGCCTTATGCTGGAACCAGAGCTGTGTCCCTGACGCTCTTGACCAGAAAGATTTGAAAGCTCTTTCTGATACTGGTGAAAAGCTCTTGAGTTGTAATGTATAATCATAGTATAAAAGTGCATACGCATCTGTATTCTGCTCAGCCAAATCTATACTTTGAGTTATTAGCTTGACCCTTGGGCTTCTAACTTAGGCTGATACGGTTGCCGTGCTTTCGCTGCAAGGCTCTCACTCACCAGCTCTCTTGTACATGGTTGAGCTAACCGTGAGGTTTTCAGCACTTTGTATCTTGCACATTTCCTGCAAGAGGTGGCAGAAAATGTGTTTCCTGAGATGAAGTAAGCAAAAAAAGAAAAGCTAAGAAAAACAGACCAAAAGAATCTAAAAACCAAGAAAAAGAATATAGCTATTCAGCAACTTCCTGTTTACCAGCAGCTCAGACACAGATTTAACAACAGTGTTATCAACTTCTCCTTACATCTTCTTTCGGACAACAGCAATGTGAGGCATGTGTGTCACTCACCTAAAGCTGTTCTTCATGTCCCCAAGGAGTGCAGAGGCCTCAGAGAAGACCAGAAAGGCTGGACAACTCTATGCACACACCTCCTTTGGGATCATAGTGACTGCAGTCTAGATGGGACGGGACCGTTCCCCACATTTTGCTACATGAGGTTTGCTCAACAGAACCGAGGCAGCAGAGCAGCCTGTCTTGGGGAGGCTTCGTTGCAGCCCCTGCGGCCCCTCCAAGAGGGACACGCTGCCTGGGGCAGAGAGTGGGTTTGACTCCAGGTCTCTTCAATCACCGGGCAATTCTTCAGCCACAGACTGCACCCACCTTCCCCATTTTCAGAGCATGGTTTCATACATTAAAACCCTAGCAATTTCCTTTTATGACCTGACAAACCTTCAGAGCTGCTTCCCCAGCAGGCTGCTCTGGCCAGAGCGGAGCGGTGCCCGAAAGGCAGCTGTGGGCAGAGGCAGCGTGCCTGTCTGGCCGGGGGATTTCCTCAAGGGCACCCCAGCGGGCAGCCCTGCGGGATGGCAGATTCCTCCTTCCTCAGAGATGCCGGGTGAGCGAGGTTCGAGGCAGGCCTGGAAACAGAAGCCGCATAATCACATCAGCGCAGCGGTGAATCCTCCGCGGAGAGGCCGCTGGCACTGTGCGCAGAGCTGGGCAGGCGCAGCAGCCTCTTGGGAACGCAGCGGGGATCTGCGGCGCGGCACAGCACCGTGTGGGCGCTCCCGCCGGGCGCAGAGTGCAGGCTGGACCAAGCCAAAGCCAGGTCAGGAACCAGTCCTCAACCATGCAGATGACTGAGTGCCATCACCCCGGCCCCAGCTCTGTAGGGTTGACCTGTATCTGTGTAGCCAAAAGATTTTGCACTGTGCTACACAGCTGGTGGTGGATGAGGCGTCCCTGCAGTGGGAGGAATCCTGCCCGATTCCTATCCCCTCACATCTGGAGGGTCAAAAATCCCCGAGAAGAAAGCACTGAGCTTTGGCGGGCAGGCTGAGTCTCAGAGGCGTGTTATTTTTTTCAGTGGTCTCTGATGACTGAAAGCGTGATGTGCCACAACGCCACCTCCCAGAAGCCCAGGGCAGAGCCATGCTGCGGCTGGGAAAGCGATGGCGCTCCATGTGCAAGATCTGCTGGAGCACAGGGCACGTCTGGGAAGCAGCCGCTGGAGGCGAGGAGCACTCAGCTCACCAAGCAGCTGCCTGAACGGAGCCGGTGCTCACCCAGGCAAAGGCAGTACACCCCACCCTTCTCTTCTGTCCTCTCCTCATGCGGGTGAAGGGCAGCCTTGCACAACCCCTTGCTGGCGTGAGAAGGAAAGGGCATCCTTCTCGCTGATGACGCATGGCGCAGGGGCTGGCAGGCGTAGCGGGAAGAGACTCGCTCTGCCTGGGCTCAGCTCTCCCACTCTTCCCTAACCAGCGCTGGCCCCTCCTGAGGCAGGGAGCTGGGCCTGGTGGCCCTTTGCTCTGCGCCAGTATGGCCATTACCATGCTCTTCTGGGGTGCTGGCCAGCCCGTTGACACAGCTAGCCTCGACGGTCTGGCAGTGAAACGGCAGTTTATGACAGAGGGGGAAAAGAAAGACAGTATTTTGGGAAGTTAGTTGTTTTCACATCAGGTGAGCCTGAAGAAATTCACTGTAGGACATAGAGATGGCTGGCTGAAGCAATGCTGAAACTGTTAGCATCTACCCTCGATGTGAGATGTAGGAAAAATGCAAACAGTAACTGTTAATAAGAGGATTAAGGGGGAAAAGTAGGGAATTATATCCCAGTCAGTTTAACTTCAGTTCCTGAAAAGCACTAGAAGGAGTAAACAGCCTGCAAGAAAATCAGAAAAGAGTAAGAGCCAATACAGATTTGTCAAGAGGCAGCTACGTCAAATTAGTCTAATTTACATCTTCATGCCAGTAGGGCAAAGCAATGACCTCATATATCTATGAATTAGTGAAGTTTCTGAGTGTTTCTAATGTGTCCGTTTCATAAGTTACCTGAATGAAACTTGCAGGTAGGTGTGCAAGGGGTTAGAAAATTAATCTTCTCGGCGGTCTCTGCCGGATGGGAGAGCTGCACTGAAAAGGATTCTGCAGTTGGGGCTGCACTGTCTCCTGGTATTAGTGAATTTGGTCAGGAATTATTTGGGTGAAGGGCTGTGCATATGTTTATTGATTTATTTGGATATGTCACCAGCTTGAGAGGGGCTGGTGACAAACATACTGGGGGACAGGATGGTTGTTCAAAGTAACCTTACAATTTAAATAGCTCGGAAACAATGGGTTGCAGTTCATTAAGGACAAATGCCCGGTTCTGCACTTGGGCATGTTCAGCAAAGACCACAAATACAGGATGAGGAAGGCAGCATTTCTACAGAAAAGGATCTGGGGACTGGAGTTCAGCATGAGAGAAGCATGAATCAACGGTGCTAGGCTATTGCAAAAAAAGCCAGCTCCCACAATGAGATGATTCTTCCAGTCGGCTTTGCTAGGCTAAGGCCTCAGCTGGAGCTCTGTGTCTAGTTTTGGGCACTCTAATACGAAAAGATTAAGGATAACTGGACAGCTGCCAAAGGAGAACAATGGCTATGATTAACAATTTAGAAAACATGACCTAAAAGGAAAAAAATGATGGAACATGAGCTCTTCAGATTGAAGAGGAACATGATCTTCAAATATGTAGAAGTAGCTAGAAGAGAGTAGCAGTTGATCTACCATGGATAAGACAAGTAACAGACTTAAATCATACCAAAGGAGTTTTAGATTAAGACAAATTTTCTAGGAGTGAGGCTAGAAAAACACTGGGATGGACTGTAAGGAGAAGCTGATGACGCTCAATGCCAGGGGTCACAGGAGCAGGTTTAACAACCGTGTGGCAGGGATGACAGGGGGACGCTGACCCTGCCTTCAAGCCAGGGAATGGACTACATGATCTCATGAGGTCTCACACAGCCTCATTTTCTATGATTTCACTATTTTATTCTTTCTTGCTTGCGTCCTTCACAGTTCTCCACCCTTAGGCAAAGCTGTGCAAGATGCTAACCTGAGAGGCACCCATGCACTGGGGTACAGAAGATGCGGGAGAGCAGAAGCTTAAAACCTAAGTGCTTCAGTGTGAGAAAAGGAGTATCAGGTTAGGGATGAATAGAGAAGATTCTCATTCTCAGAGATGTCACATACCAGGGATGTATTTGTTCACTTATTTCTGTTCCACAGTTATCCTGTCATAACACAGGAGTGAGAAAATCCCGCTCTCTGCTCGCATTATCATGAATGAGTTACTGTGCTGGAAGTTTTGCAACGCACAGATTTCTGCTTCGGTGAAACTAAGCGATTGTGCAAGGCTGCAGCTGTCAAGGCCGTCATCCGCAAGGCTTTGGTGCCAGCAGTGGAAGGCAGAGTGGGAAGCAGAGTGAGGTGATCCAAACCAAACAAAGCGGCTCCAGCTGCTTCTCCCAAATAAACTCAGGGACAGTTTTTGGACGTCTGGCTGGCTTGCAACCTTTTTCTCTGCACTGAGCATCTGCTGCCGTGAAGATAGGCAGAGAAATGCCAAATAGGGTTTTCTTTTCAGGTAATTTCATCTGCACACGTAAGTACTCTGTTACAGTAATACAACTCCACTTGAAGTAACACTGGAGCTAGGTCAATATTTCTGCTGACAAAGCTGGAAAAAAAAATTCTATCTGCTATCAGTGCAAAACAGACACATTTTAGTTCTACTGGAAATTTTTTGAAGTTTTGGTGTCTCTTTCTTTTTGAGGAAGAAAGGTTAGAAGAAGAGGTTATTTATAAAAAATTGATATATTTTAAAATGACACATTTAAAAATAAAAAATGGCAAAATTTTGTCTGGAACTTGTCAGAATAAAATGTTACGACTTCTTCATAATTGTTCCTCTAACATGAAGGGGGAGATTCCCCCCAAACAGTTTGGTACATTCAGAAATATTTTAATCAGTCTAAATATATCCTTTTGAGGAAAAAACCCCACCACTGCCCAACCCCCCCCCCCGCCCAACCCCCCCCCCCAATCTCTCCCACTTCTTTGTGCACAGATATGAATTATCCTCCTTAAGAAAGGGAAATAAGCCATTCTGCTGTATGGCATATTTGTACATGATTCTACCTCCACACTGGGCATTGGGCTGATTAAACAATTCCGATTGAAATGATGCCGTCATACTAACCCTGCATGTCGAATTGCTGATGATGGTAGAGCCAAGTGTTGTGTTGCTAACTGAAATAGGCAATGATTCCCGAAAATGCAGCTCCTCAGGCGGAGTTTCCTCCCGTACCTTGCGGGTGACTGCCAGTCCTGGGTGTTGCTGCCTCCTCTGCCAAGAAAGGGCGCTTGCTGGCCCACGGCAGCCGTAGGGACCCTTGGGAGACGGGTGCTGGGGCAGAGAGAGATGGCAGGGAAGAGGAATTTGGGATGGGAGATGTGCCCGGGTGAACACACCGTTCCTTGAGCCAGCACGGCGCTGCCACGCTGCTGCCACGCGGAGCACACGCTGGTGTCCGACCCCCCCGGCCTCTGCCTTCTCCTGCAAAGCCAAAATGTCAACGTTTTTCTTGCCGTAATCAGGAAAGACTGCTGGAATTTTACAGCCCATTTTTAGCTGAGCCACCCAGCGCTCTTGAACATCACACACCCCCCAACTGTGGTTAATCCTGATTTTTTCCCCTCCATTGACATATTTGTCACCTCTTCACTCCTCTTCAAATATGACAGAGAAAGCCCTCAGCCGCCTTTTGAGCTGTAAAGGATAGCTGATTTAAGAGGGAAAGCCCTCATTTTGACGAAGAAGCTGCTCTCAGTACACTGTCAAGTAAAGGCAGAGGAAAGTGCTATTCTTGGACAAGAGCACCTGAATGGGTTGTTTTACCACTGTTCTGAGACTGGTGACAGCAGAGCATCGCTTCAAGGGCTGTTGGGTGCTGTGAGAGCAGGCTGATTTGGGAAATACTTAGTCTTGTCTTGGGAAATCCCCCACAGGGTAGGATATCTTCCTCTGTTTTTATTCTAGTCTTTTCCCAGCTGCTGCTAAACCAGCCCTTGAGTATGACCATGGTGTCAGAAAGGTGCCTCCCAATAGCCTGACCAAATAGCTAGAGCCATACCAGGGCTTGCAAGCAATCACTCCGGAGGCCACAAACAAGTTCTTGCTGGCAGTGTCTTCTGGCATGACCACAGTTTCCTTTTTGCGTTCAAGCTCAGCTTGCCTACATGATCTGTAGGAGGAAGGAGAGGTTTCGACAAAAGAAGACATAGCATTTTTGCAGCAGCTAAGCTGGCAGTCACCCCAGGGCTCAGGAGTTGCAGTGGTGGCATGAGGTAAAAAAATGCCTCGGAGTAATGTCAAGGGCAGAGCTAGTGTGCACCCGTGGTCCCTCCGTGTCAGTAGATATGCCTGTTTGTAGTAGCTGAGGACTTAACCCTGCTAACCCCCTCACTGGAAGATTTGTTTCAGCAAATGTCACAACCTTTCCCTTTAAAATGGGGCTACGGTGGAGCATCACATCTATATCACAACCTATATTGCTTCACATCTCTGACCTTGGGCATCGGAGTGGCTTGGAGGAGTGGAAGTTTGTATTATTACTGTGACGTGGTGGTCACTTGTAGGCAGGCATAGTCTTCAGCTACACGAAGTGTTGTGTGTGGCGGGTTTTCTCCACTGAAATGACTATTCTGACAGAAGATAAAACAGCAGAACTGTAGTATCAAAGTGCTTAGGCTTAAATACATGAACTCTTGCGGAGGCACGAGCAGCAGGCACAGCTAAAGGGGAAGCGTGAACCGTGGCGCAGAAAGCCACATGGCGCCAGATGCCGTTGCCCCTAAAGCTGCCTGGGGCAGCTGTGGCTGTTGCAGCCTGCCCAGAGGTTCAGGCTTTCATGATACTGAGAAAGCCTGAGACAAACCAGAAGGCTCCTCTTACAGTGAAACTTCCCCTGTGCTTTTAACCTGTGTCCAGCCCGACTTGTGACTATATGCTTGTGCACTGGGTGTTTCACTAAAATGGTGATGTCGCACTGCTCTTTCCTCCTGCACCTTACACACCTGGCTGTGGGCGCAAGGAGCACGGCATGCAGCACGGATCCTGCATGCAAACTGGCCACAGGTTGCAGCATGGGAGTCTCTGTCATTTCTTGGTTGCCTTTGCTTTGAGATGTTTCTGTCTCACAGGAAAGCCCTCAAAAGTATGAGGAGAAGGTGCAAATACTGATACTTGTGTCAGCTGAGCACAACTAGAATGAGGCTGCAAGGCAGCGGCAAAGGCTGCTGCAGGAGGGTGCACTAAGGTGTATTTCAGGTGGGCTTTAGCAAGCAGATCTGAGACTTCCCTGTCCTCAGGCTCCCACCCAGCGCCTCAGGAGCACCCCGAGGCCCGGGCAGGGAGTGGTGCCTGCTGTCCCATCCCCTGTTGTAAGAGCCCTTGGTTAGGCATCCCCTTCACACACTTATGAAGGTCCGTTTTACACCGACTGGCCTGCTCTCCTCTGGCAGGAGGGTTGCTCCACAGCCCCAGCGTCCTGCTAGCAGGCTACCGTCCGTCCAAGGGCACTCACGGACAACCTATATTGCTTCTATTGTAATAATGCTTATTGCATTAATATTGCTGTCATGCCAATGCTTTCTATCAGCTTAAGTGTCTCTCCTTTTTTCCCCTGGCTGTGTCTTCCCTGGATTGCCTGTGCATAGCAAACATATCCCTTCTCCAGCTTTGCTTTACTAGGTTGAACCAAGCTCTTCCCTACCACTCTTCTCCAAAGGGCTCTACACTTCCTGTTGCCCTGCCACCTCCCTTTTCACCTCTTTCCGTTTGAGTTTATCTATCTCTTTCAAGTACAGGCAACCTTTAACTTCTGTGTTTGCTTCTTACCACCTCTTACCTCTTACTGGCTTACCACATTTTCTGCTTTCTTATCTTCCTCAGATGAACTTCAAAGGGCTGTTTATCAGCTCAGTAGAAATCCCTGTTAGCCTAGGTGGCCCTTCTGTAACTCTGTATACTGTGAATACCACTCAGACTAAAAAAACTGTCAGGGATTTAGGTCATTACAGCCTGATTTATAGTGGAAAAAATCAGAAACGTGCACCCACCACCTCAAATATCCTCTTCAATGCCTTTGAGGGCAAGTTTAGCATACCTACCGCTTTCAGCACCCACACTTGCGAACAAACTGGTGGGGTTTTTTTTTATCGCTAACACCTTCTGGCCCAACGCTACTTTGTGCACCCAGGCTCAACCCCAAACTACTCGTCCTCCAGCCACTGTAAGGAGGCATGCAGGATGCCTGTGGGAGGGGGTGGGCTGGGGCTCGGCACACGGTAGAGAGGCAAGTGGGATGGGGCACCAGTGCACCGAGAGCCACAGGGCTCTGCAGCATATCTCTGGCACGATGGTGAGGGAGGCTTGTCCCCCAGGAGCTGCTGGAGGAGCTTCCTCTCCCTGTGACCAAATTCTTACCCGTACCCATACTACAGTCCTCTCTGGTGTGCCCAAAGTACAGTGATTAGCCTTCTTCCAGCCATGGCAGTTGCCATCTTCACGCGTATCTTGTCTTTTTTTTCACTTTTAGTTTGGTGCTTTGCCTTGCCTTCACGGTCCTGCGTATCTCCTTCATACCACCTTCTCACTCGCTCCAGCTTTCTCCAACACACATAGCATTTCCTCTGCTGTTACCCCTACTTACTCTTACAGCTTCATGCTCCATTTTGCCCAGCCATTTAGAAGTGCAGCTGGTGAAAATACATGGCTGGAATTTTTTCTGATTTAAAAAAGCATGTTTTGATTACACTGAAATCTTTTTGCAAAAATCATAAATTCAGTAAAAATAATTCAAGAAAAAATAAGATTTTTTCAATTTATAACAAGTATAAGTGCTTTAACATGCAGATATAGCTTTAATAGAAACTTTCATAGGCTTCGTGACAAATTATCATTTAATTTTTTTTCATATGTGTTAATAACTTGCCAGCCAAACTAATGCACAAAGCCTCCAAAAGCAACTAAAAAGGGACATCCTTAACTGGAAAATAAAAAGTTTCAGTCATAAGAAGAAATAAAGACAGCTGACCTTACTGATTTTTAAAACGTAAGTGTAAATATAATGTAGCTACATTACACGGTACTGTATGCCAGGACATACTATTGGCACACTATTCATCACACAACAGAGAATAAAATAAAACAAAGTTCTGATAAAACAACGTTCCAAATGTTAATTCTGCACAAAAGTAAAAGAAAAAAGTAGAACTGGTCTCTCATAGGTAATAAACTAACTGGGTGGTTGGAGGCAGGACACTGCCATGGTGACTGGCAACTTTCTGAGTATCTCAAAGGACTAGGCTTCTCTTTCTGACACTGCTACTGACTGGTGCCAGGTCCTTCATAAGTTAGTTATTTCTTTTTTTCCCAGTCCATTTTCTCACTGTTTTTTTTTTTTTTTGATCTGTCTGAAGTATTTCGTTCTTCTGTTCTTGGTCATTTATGCAACATCCAGCAGGCTGGAAAGCTACTTTTGTTTGGAGCTGCTAGCTGCTACCAGAGAACCGGTTAATAACTAATAGCAGTCATACTTTGGACCTGCCACATGCTTATTTGGAGCTCTTAGGCAAATCACTTGGGTTCTCTGTGCTCCTACAAATTGGGAAAATGATGCTTACCAATTATTGAGATTGATGTACGAAAAGCATATCATTTGGCTGACTTATCATCATCATCATCATAATTTCCAGTATCACATAAAATAATTTCAAGTAATTATAGAAAAGAAAAAAATTTCAAGCTTGTCTTTGTTTCAATATTTTGTCCCTGACCATGTGTCCTAAGTGCACTAATAGGTATTTAAAAAAAAAAAAAAAGGAGCAAAGAAACTCTGAAATATATCCACTTAAATAAAGTCTGTTCAAAATATGACTGGAAAGACGTATAGGTAGCCATTAGTCCTTAGTTTGCTCAGAAAGTTAATGCAGTACAAATAGAAATGGATATAACCACACTACAGTATAGAGGCTGATATCAGCTGAAAGAAAAGAAAAAACCAAAATATGCTTCTTGGAAATTGTGTACTAGCTGCTGAAAAAAATTGCAAAGCCACTGAACTTAATGGATCTATACAAAGTTATTAGGGTCTAGCATTACATGTGGCCAGCCGTACATGTTCTCTGACGGAGACAAAGGAACTTTTAAATTTATTTGTCACTTAAATTAGGGGTGGCTGTGAGGAAGGAGGTTTTAAGCAAACTTACATTAAAAGGAGAGCACCTGTTCACGTGTTATCTTTACTGTCTTCAAAGAAAATCCTATTTGATTTTTGTTTCACATATGTGTTTATAAGCCCTTTCATCTCTTTTCCTGTTTACCTCAGCTATAAAGCCCTCAATTTGTCTCAAGAACTCTTCTGTAACTGACAGCTGCCCATTCAACATTTGCAAATCACCACATCGCAACCACCTCCACAAGCAATGGAATAAACCTCGTGCAGATACCCGAGCCCAAGAGAGGGTGACAGAAGACACGGGAGAAGGAGGGGACCAGGACCAGCTGAGAGAGTGACGGCATCTTGCCAAGTCGAAGGTAACATCCATTTGTATTTAACGTGCTGCCTTGAAAGTAACTGGCTAATTCTGGTAATTTTGGTAATCTGCAGAGAGACCTGCAACAGTTACGTCCCTCTTGATACCCTTTGGATAGCTGCTTTTTCAGTTTGTCTGTTTTGGCCAGCTGATGTGGAGAGGGGAAAAATGGAAAAGACTGTGCTCTGGGAGTAAGCTGTCAAAGGAAGAGATGTCTTCAACAGCGTGAAGGCACTCTGAAAGTCTGAGGTGGAGCATCTCCAGTCTCTGTGCAGCCCAGGAAAATCACTTTTGAATTATGCCAAACTCAGAGGCACCTTTTATAGATTTATATATATCTATTCCATCTATATATCAATATTCATTATATTTTGATCATTTTTGAATTTTTGCTGGTGAACCTATGGACTGCTTTTTAGGGATTTCTGACAAGTAACTCAGAAAAGCAAGCCTACTGCTGGGAGGCTTACAGTCGCAGTGTATATGGCCATCATGCATGGAAAAAAAAGATGAAAAGCGTTAGCAGTAAGTACTTTTCTACCCGTAACTGTTGCTGTATAAACAGTCATTATCATGTGACTCAACATCTTGATATTTAGGGATTTTGTATCAAAACAAAACTGAAGTTAATAACACGCTTAACGTATAGCTGAAAATTGAACACAGGATTATATTCTCAATGTAGATTGCAGCACTGCTTTTCTCCCGTTACACATCATTATTCCTAAACGAAGAACTTTGTAGGGTTGAAGGCTGTATTTGTAACAGGTTTCTCTGCACTGCATACCGACTTTGGTGGAAACAGTCCTGGTGCCGCAGGGAAAGTTGAGGCAGTTCAGTGCAGCATGAGCAGCATCAGTTCCCGGAGCAGGAACAAATACTGGGCCCAGCATCCCTCTCCTGCGTATCTGGATCTTCCTTTTTCCCTGCGCAAGGTGGCTCAGCCCAGCTAAAAGGGGTGGATTCCGATTCCTTCCTTTTCAACATGAAAATGAGTTTTGAGTGAGATCATATTCACTGTTATCTCACTTTTCATTCACCTGAGCAGTCTAATTGCAGTTTTTAACTCAAGGGAGCACATGCTCTACATTTAATGAAGTAATCGCTCTCATTCTTGTTATTGCTACTACTAACAACAATTATTACCAAAGACTCTGTGAAAATAATGCTTCTCTCTGTCTGCCGGTATTTTAAGTTCTTCTAAGAGCGAGCGTAACATAGGTGAAATGCACTGCAAACATGAAAATTCTTTAGAAGCGAGAAGCAAAACTCCTTTGAAATTCTGTCTTTTGAAAGAGTCAGTACTTCTTAAAACGCAAACACTTAACTCTGCATATCAGATCCCCTTTTATGGTGGCCATGAGGTGCCATCTGAAAAAAGGGTGGCTAAAGCACTGACTCACTTTTGGAAAACATGTCAGAATATTTTAAAGCTGTATTCATTGTATTCTTTGGAAATTACAAAGCAAGACATCCCTCCCCTCCCCCAAATTGTATTGGTTTTCTATAAACTAGAAAACTGAAATTGGGCAAAAGAGATAGGAGCTAGAAACTGCTGTCGATAGACGTAGCTGAGCCATACACCAGCTAACTTGGAGACGAATAGCATGCTCGTTCGGCAGCACAGCGCTCAGCTCTGCAAGCAGCGCCATGTAGTCCCGTGAACTCCTTTACCGCCACAGCTGCTGTTGGACGCCCTCCTGCACCAGCTCATGGAAAAATAACGTACATATCCCTGCAATCCTGGCAGCTGCCCCTGACCAGCTCAGCTAAAACTGCAGTTACGATGACGGACGATGGCTACCGTAGTCAGGAGAGGGAGACTTTTATAAGGGTCTCTGTGGTACAGGTAAGAAAGTCCTGTTCCCCCTGCCGAGTTCAAGGAAACCCAGATTCTTAGATCAGACGCAAGTTTTGTACCGTTTTGCACTGTTATGACTATTCAAGGGAAAAAAAAAATTGTTCCCCATCACTACAATGAGGAGGGGCTAACCCACTGGCAAGGCAGCAGTTCTGGGAGAACCGAGAGCATCCTGGGGCTCAGGCTGATGCATGTACAGGAGTGACTGCAGTGGAGACATTGGGTGGTAGGACTGCCCTAGCCAGTGAGCCCAAGACCACCTTCCGTGTTCCCCTCCTGCCGACCCGCTGGCCTGAGGCAGCACCGAGCAGCGGGGCG